CTGGTGAGCGACCTATGCTCATTCACAAGGTTCAACAGGTATAAGTAAGTAACAATACTATGAAAATTCCGATATGAAAAGAAATGTAATTTCTCGCATGTGATTATGGTTATGCTTACTGAAATACTTTTTTTACCGTTGATAAATATTAATTTATTCATGCCATTAAATAATCTTATCTTTGTTCGTATATGTCATCTGAAAAATTAACTGTACATTCTAGGGTTTAGTTCACTGTATATCAGTTTTTTTTAATTTTTTCGGTGTTTTATTTTTTTCGCTCCTGTGTTTATAATACGATTAAGTGAAAACGTACTGTCAGATACCGCTTAATCTGTTCCAGTGAACCTTCATATTATTTGTTTACACGTGTATACGATGTATTACGAAAAGTGATAAGTTTATGCGTCTAGTATATTTGTCCTTTATCCAGTTGATAAATGAATGAATTGAAACTGTTAATTAGTTATTTTTTATTGGAAGCATTGATTTCATAGAATTCCACATGATGTAGGTGTTGTTACTGTCGTCCACAATGACAATAAGAGCTATGTAATGAAATCAAATAGTTTAGAGAACACAACACCAAAAGCATCCACATGAGCTGTAAATCTTCCAATCATTAACAATAAGTACAGTAAATCACGCAATGAAAACATTTAACAATGAATAACATTAGTTGATAAGTTCATACGGTGTTTTGTCATTTAGAACCAGTCTCTGCATTTTTGATAAATAACTGTTTGACGATTGATTTCTTTTCTGATGCAATTGTTGGATATATGTTTATAATGCCATAACAAATGGTGGAGTATAGTAGTGGTTTTCATTCAGTTGGTAGAATTTTCTAATCTCTTTTTACCCACTTCAGTCTTGCCTGGAAGATAATCGTCACATTTAAATTGTAGTTGGTAACCAGAGTTATAAATTCCGACATGTTGAATGAGTATTACACTGATAGGTGTCTGGAATGCACATATGTTTCCTTGATAATATGTTACTTTGTTAAATTTTTGTTTCTAACGTTATCGTTTTGATAATGATCTTCTGAACATTCGACCTTTTAAGAGATGGCAAAATCATTTTCTGAAATTTGTGTATACAATTTATTCAGCAAAGTATATCTATCTTTGTATTTCTCAGCCTTTTCATATTGACTGACTGTATATAGATATTTGTTAATTTGTCAACTAGCGCTGATTGTTTAAGAATGAACCAGTTCTCATTCAGATCTAATCTTGGCCAGAAAATGAGGTTGTCAGGATTTTATCGAACTACCACCATTATGATTGATATTGAACAGTTTAGTATTCTCGAACTGTTCGTTTTTTTTCATATTGTTTTCCACTATCTATCCTTTTATCGTTATTTTTCAAAATTCATTTACTCAATAAAATCTACTGATCAATAATTGGTTGGGTTTTTTTTGTTTTTACATTGATTTTAAACCATTTAGTAAAACTATAAAAACTTCATTCACCTTAAAATTATTTATTCAGATTTATGAAACAGTATAAAAACTAATACACACAATCTCCCTCTTAGACAATTGAAAATCATTTTGAATCATTTCAAATTTTTTATTTATGATTCATTGTAAAAAATTTCTCCACTTATAAAACAAAAACGTCTATCATCTTATTTACACAGTTCATAAATTATATTTCTAATATTTAATTCGTTGTACTGAATCATTATTTAGGTTAATAAATAACACATTTTACTGTAAATGTTCGTCTGTATACGTGAGTAGTTGTTTGTTCGTTTACTTGCATGCTCTATTCCTTACGTGAAGTAATCATCTACACTTGATTTAATACTTCAGTTTATACTATTTTTATTTCAATATTCAATCTCTTCTACATGAATAGGCGGAGATGGATAGTGACTAGGTGTGTAATTGAGGACGTGAGTTCCGTCCTAGTCGGAGCTCCTCAGCTGGGTGTATCTGCATTCCAAAGTTGATGGTCATCCTAAAACTCTGTACTAGGTTAAAGTCCCGAAGTGAACATCAACTTTGGAATTTCAAGGTGAGGGGACTTTTAAATATGACGATTATCTTCCAGGCAAGACTGAAGTGGGTAAAAGAGATAAGAAAATTCTACCAAGTGAATGAAAACCACTACTCTACTCCATCAATCAACGAAGAAATTTAAAAAATTGATATACAGTGAACTAAACCCTAGAATGTACAGTTAATTTTTCAGATGACATATACGAACAAAGATAAGATTATTTAATGGCATGAATAAATTAATATTTGTTAACGGTAAAAAAAGTAAGCATAACCATAATCACATGGGAGAAAATACATTTCTTTTCATATCGCAATTTTCATAGTATTGTTACTTACTTATACCTGTTGAACCTTGTGAATGAGCATAGGTCGCCCACCAGAATACTCTATCCAACTCGGTTTCGAATAGTCCTTTCCGCTTATTTCTAGTTGCGATTCATCCTTTTCATGTCTACTTTCAATTCCCCACGTACTTTCTTCTCTGATATTCATCTTCTTTGTTTCCCTTCACGATTCCAAGTTAGCACTTGCCTCGTAATTAAGTGCAACGGTCTCTGTAATGTATGTCATATCAACCTCCAACATCCTTTCCTAATTTCCTCTTCACATCGAAGTTGGTTTGCTCTCTCTCATACTAGGTTGTTTCTGTTCATATCCAACCAACAGACATTCAGTATCTTACGTAGACAATTATTTATAAATACTTGTACATGTTTGATGATGATTGTAGTCGTTCTCTCCAAGTTTCAGCTCTGTACAGTAGAACTGACTATCTTGACATTCGTATTGAATATTCTCACTTTGATATTAGTTGAGAGACAGTTGTTTTGAGTTTCATATGTTGTTCAACTTCAGGAATGTTGTACTTACTTTGCGAATCCTCGCCCTTACATCTGCATCGGATCCTCCTTGTTCGTCGATGATGTTGTCCAAACAGGTAAGTGAAAGTTTCCACCTGTTCAAGCAGAGTTTCACCATCAAGTGTGATTGGTTTGGTTGGTGTTCTCAGCTATGTACAAGCATTCAGTAATGTGGATAGGACCTAGATGTTGAAATTATTTAGCTAGTACTCTTTAAAATACTTAAGTAAATCGATGGAGAATGTGATTTTAAACACATAATCTACGTAACTCAGACAGACAAAAAGAGAAAACAACTAAAATCTACACCAAAACACCGATTCGTGTATTAACAAATTAAATTGAGCTTTCCATACACATTGACATACATAGGAACATATAAGCACATACATCGAAAACATAAGTACGAAGAAAGTTGCATCAAACTGACTGGTATTAAAATTATGTAAACTAAACTAATAAGTATGTTTTTTCATTCAAAAAAAAGGAAGTACATTAAGTACATTAACGTAAAACAATTATGATAATGTGAAAATAAATCATAAAGTGAGCTATTGAAGTATACTCTACCAGATATTTTCTGTGTTTATTTTCTCACATAAAAAAACAAAACCATTTCAGTAATTCAAGAGTAAAACAGTACATTGAACAAGTAAATAAATGAATCACATCTACATACAGAAGACAGACAGCAATTAAGGGAGATAGAATTATTCGTCTACTGGAAAGTATTTTAAAATAGTTATTATTAATTAACTACTGGTGAAATTTATAAGTTAATGGAATAGACTCATGAGATATAAAATAAAAAAAGACTGGTTCAGCGAAGAGTTCACTTTTCGGAGAATGCATTTTCAAGACTGTACAGTCGCATATATATATATATATATATATATACTTATTTTTCACGATGATATAATTTCAGTAATAATGAAATTTTGTTAGACATGCTAGCAATGAGGTAGAATAAACAAAGGCATAAAAACGTCATTTTTGTTAAGGAAACTAATAATAATTTTGTTGCTGAGAGCTTGAATATTCTTCATCACGAAGAAAGAGAAGAAAATTATAATTTGGAGAAGGCTCAGCGTGATAAGATAAAATGTTGAAATTGAGATGAACTGTAATCAGAAGGACCATAGAAACAGAAATAAACCAGTTTTAGGTAAAAAGTATATGGAGAAGGCAGATGGGAGAAAAGTACGAAGAAAGAGAATCATGAAACGTTAAGACCACGGTAAAATAAGAGGTTGTACCAATTTCTTTCAAACATATAATTCTGGTTTTTCCAGATGTATATCTATTGCTTGCTCAATGTTAAGAAGATACAATATAACTGCTTTCGGCAGCTTTCTACATATCTTGTAGATGACTTTGATCCCAGAGTCCGCTTTGACTGAGTGACCTTTGTTCATAAGGTGTTCGATTACTGAGCCGTTTCCGCCTCTTTTTTTTAGCCACGCCGGGTAATATTCTTGAATTCTTTTGGATCAAGTACGCATCAAACGACTCATACACCTGGCTCCATATGAACAGACAAATCGATAAATGAACATAGAGTTGGTCAATTGAGATAGTATATCCTTAAGATCATTGATGAACATTGATCGACTGAAAAACAGTATTTGCGAAGTTGCTGGGAAGAACGTTCTTTTTGGAGGATCGCGAATTCTCCTCTTTAGGGTGTCTGTAATTCTATCACCCTTAAAATGGAGGTGTTTTCTTCCCAACCGAGGTTATTTGTGCTTTAGACGGTTCAAGTTTTATATTCTTCGCAATAAATTTTAATGAGAACGAATAAATTTGAATAACTCTCGTATTGTTCTAATTCACAATATGGGATTATTTGGAATTTTACAGCCGCGTGGGGATTCGATTACATTAAAGGTATTCAGTGAGCTTCTCAAGTTTAATGGCCGTTCTACTGAGACAAAAGCTTTATTTAAAAAATACAATTAAAGTGTATGTTTTCAGTTGATCATTTTGTTTCCTACATCAAATATAAATCAGAGTTTATCAGCCACAGTAACAATAACAAGTTATTTTAATAAACAGATTAGTTCATTTCCCCCTATTTTTAAACAAAAAAAGCATTCTGACAGAAATACAGTACACAGACTTACGCATCCAACAATCTGAAAAACAATAAAAAGAAAGTATGATAAGGAAGACGTATACAATACTAATGAGTACAAATTATCACTATATATATATGACCTGTTGAAGATAGTTGAAAAATCTGAGTAGTTGTGTAAGTGCTGGTGTTGGATGTGGCGGGGGAGATTTACGTAAATGAGGTGAATACCAGAACAGCTTATACACGAATATGAAGCATCTGTGGCGCCTGGCTGTAAAAGATTACGTCTAAAATCAGCCGGACTCTGTTGTATGCTCCTGCGTGGTAAGGATGTGTGGGGACTCTCTGGGTTCCGTCTTAATTGTCTCCGAAGGTGACAACGCCAGTTTAGTAACGTTGAAATTTCACGTGTCCGTTTTAGGGAGCAATCGGTGTCAGAATATTGAAACATCCGCTCCTGCAGTTTGGTCATGTTAGGGGTTTTCGAGTCGCGCGTTATTGAAAAGCGATGCGACGCGGTCGATTTATATGGCGGGATACCAAAAAAGGTGGCTGTATAGGAGTCAGGTCCGTCATGACTTCTAACTGGGAATCATAGAAAATATACGGCTCAGTAACTTGAGATGCTATTTAGCATGGATCGAAATGGAAGCTAGTGAAGATCCTGGAGTAGGTTTCTTTTTGTTATTTATAAAAGTGAGAAAAATTCCCTTAATTGAACAAAGTCTTTCGTCACTGTATTTTTAACTGAAATGTATTTCTTATTAATGTAATCAGGACTTGATGATACATATTTATTGAAAACCAATCATTAAATAGTTTACCGAATGGAGGCAACAGCGATAAACAAACTGGTGATTTTGTTAGCATAAACAACTATCGCCGCTTTAACAGTTCACACATATCACACAAGTAATTATGTGTAGAGAATATGGAGCAGGGAGAGGTTTAAAGAACACTAGATAAAGATATAGTTATTGATCTAGAACAAGTGAGGATCTTTGGACCTCGATAACTAATCTAAATTAGATGGATAAAAAGGATATTTACTAAAATCCTATATGTTCAGGATTAGATAAAGTCTAAGATTACAGTCAGACTTCAAGTACTTATAACTATGTGGTTGCATGATAATCTTAACAGTTGTTGTTAGAAGTGTCAAGATCTAATAATTATGTGTTTAGACACCATGAAACACGCCATATAGCGTTAATTTCCAGTTTTATAAGGAAATGAATTAAGAAAAATAATGCAAGAATGTGAGAACAGTGAAGTAAACTGCCCAAATAAAAACACGATCAAAATATGTTCCATCCCATTCAAAATACATCTTACTATAAATGTATGATTAGAAACATTGTGATTTTGATTTAAACATCAATGTTGAATATTCTTTCCGCTTTCGACTATTTTTGCATCCTTCTAGTATCAACAAACTATAAGCTATGGATGTTGTTGGAATGCAACACATAAAACATGTTGAATTTGCTAAAAGCTGACGCTTCAGTATAATAGCAATAGATGAGCTAGAACATGGTAGACAATCAATCGACACAATAATTTGTGTTGAATTATTTATAAATACAAATGTTACAACACATTTTATGCACATTGTAATGTGATTTTTTTCATTTCTTTTCACTTGAGGAGTTATAGTGGATCTATAGTTATATCAGTGAGAGATGTTTAGTTTACCATCTTACTTACTTACGTCTGTTACCCCTCGTGGAGGAGCATAGGCCGCACACCAGTATTTTCCATCCAACCCTGCCCTGGGCAATCTAGTTTATCATCAGTCAGGTAAATACGTTGAAACCGATACACTTGAAAGACATACATGGTTGTTGTTAATGCTGAAATTGTCAGTGACTTCATTTCAATATGTTACAACACAAGTGTGTGGATAAACACCACAGAGGAACTATCAGATCAAGATGACATGATACATGACAACAAAATAACTCAGGAAAACATAACATTGATCACTAGTTATAGCGTCTAGTACTGCCGCGCCTAAATGGGTTACTCTGGCTTTTGAACAGATTAATTAATTTATTCTTCTTAGTTCATTAGCCGTACAAACATTGAAAATATCAACTAGTCGTTTCTAACCTTGACTGTGTTAATTTGAGTTAATACATATACTTATTATTTAATCTATTAATCACATGTATTTAGCTTATTTTTCTATTTGGGTGTAAATAGTGAGTCACACTCTGTCAATCGGGGTTGGTACGCTTACCTTCTTCTCCCCTTTGCTCCTCGTCTTAAAGTCTATTTGAGTAAACAAGCGCATGAAAGAAATTCATCCAACTTAATTCAAACATGGTTTTTAATTACCGCCACCTTTCAAACAGAGTAGCTTAAGTAAAATGTACACAAGTAATTGGAAGATTTATGTTCATGGCTCATTCGTAGTACGATCAAAAACGGATCTCGGACCACTAAAACCTCCAGTAGTATACTAAAATAAACTAACCTCATTTCAAGTCCTCCATGTAGATCGGATAAAATTCGAGCAGCATCCTGATAGAAGCTTAATTGAGCATTAACGAAATTAGACAAAGTCTTGATCTGTTCAACCTTGATGTTTGCAACGAATTTATGCATGAACAAAATGTGAGTACGTTAAATAGATAGTGATAATAAGTGTAAATCAAAACTTAGTTAAATACAACAAGTAAAAGTCCATCATTGGGCCAACTTGTTGAACAGATCGATGTAAATTTACTCCATATTGAAAAAAAATCAAGTTTAGCGATATTTACTAACTTCATCAAGTAATCACACACAAATTTATATTCTGTATTATGAAATTACATTTCACAAATGATGGTTACTGATAATTTCAATCATAGCTGCTATCTTGCTGTGGCGATCGAATTTTTCTATCTTGATGACTCATTCAAGCTATACTGACTGAAACATCTGTTTCTTTAGGATCATTCAGTTACAACGTAAAGCCAAGCGCATATATGCATCGGTCCAAGTTGCCACACCTCGTTAGCACAACAAGATGAACACCGAATTCATAGAAATAGTTAATTTAGTGGTGGTAGTATATAAAGAAAGGTTGTATATAAGGATATAGTATAGGAAGGAAAAAAAGTTACGAAGCAATTTTAATCTCATAGTTTAAGGGAAGATAAGGAGTGTATACACCTACGCCATTTTGATCGATTCTGAGCCATGTCACCCAGAGTCTCCAACCATTGGTTACGATAGTCACGCGGACCCACACCAAGTAGTCTGCATCTACCAACATGGCTCAGATTAGAAGTTAGTGACTTCAAGCACTGATGCCATGTTTTGGTTTGGCCGCCCCTAACTCTCTTCCAACCATCCCCTACACTAGTCAACATTGCGCGTCGTGGTAATTGGTGTTCAGGCATACGTAACACATAGCCCAACCATCTCAGTCGATGAAGATTCATGACTTCATCAACTGATTCACCATCATTCCCTAATACCCTGCATCTAACCTCACTATTACTTACCCGGTTATCCCAGTAGATGCAAGCAATATTTATAAGGCATTTGTGGTCAAATAATAGTAACCTACGAGTATCTTCTACTCTTAATGGCCACGTTTCGCAGCCGTAAAGTACAACAGAACGAACTGCTGCGCAGTATACTCGTCCCTTAATTGATAGACGGATATCTTGTCTTCGCCATAGGTGACGTAAGTTGGCAAAAGCCAAACGAGCTTTTCCAATCCGTGCTGAGATTTCGTCAGACACCAACCCATTAGGGCTGATCAGACTTCCAAGATAAGTGAAGTTGTCGACGCGTTCGACTACTTCACTCCCTATCCTTAGTTCAGGTGTTGACGCAGGCCAGTCCTGAGTTGGTCCCCCGACCGTTGCTGCTACATTGACGTGGTGGTTGGGCTTGCCTATTGTGATGATCCAATCGAGCTATGCTTGCTGGAACAATCGTTCCTCGAGGTCCTACTATGCCAGACAGGTCGGTTGAAGAGCGGTAAGACTAAAAGCAGAAAAACCAAGGTCCGAAGGTGAAGTCGTACTGCTGACTGTACAGAGGTGTGACGGCAGTAGTGTTTCCTTCAGACAACCAGCATAACAGCGATGCTGCCTTCCCACAAGGAGGGGTGGGGTTAGAAAAGGTCGACCCTAAAAATGCACACATCGCCTTATCCCACGGATTTCCGTCTCCAGCAGTAAGGACTTTTGAAGAACGGAGCTAACACGTCAAAAATCCCCCACAAAAAGGCCGTGTGTGACCGGCCTCAAGCAGTTGTCCCTTGGGCACTGCGGTCACGCTCCCAGGTCGTTAAGACCAACACTGATCCGACTTCTTTCTCAGGTCCCTCAAGAAATACCCTTCCACGGTGTGGGCAGCCGGGAAGTGATATTAGCCCTCATACCCGTAACAGCAAATGAGACCAAGTTGGTCACTTTCAAATCCTTCCTACACCTCCTAATAACTCTCTTATCCCAACGACTAACCCTTCCCACGTCCTTTTATCACCTCTCACCGCTAGGGCAAACGATTCGAGTACACAGAACGTTATTCCTGGTCTCCTGAAACCACGCTCTAAACTACATATAAGAACTTTTAATGTCCGAACATTGTGCCTAATAGGACAACAGGCTTCCTTAGCTAGGACTCTAAAATCTTACACCATCGATGTGTGCTGCGTCTCCGAAACGCGCATACAAGATCCGAGTAGCGTCATTCATTTGACCTCACCTAACCAAAATAAAGAACCATCTTGATACACGCTTCGTGTATCTGGAAGCCCTGATGCTGCTTCCCGTGGCCTCGCTGGAGTAGGTATAGCATTAAGTCCTAGGGCAGAACTAGCTCTTTTAGACTGGATCCCTGTAGACAGTCGTCTATGCGCTGTCTGACTAAACGGATCAGTAAGAACTCGGAAATATAAGGAAACTCGTCGTTGCCTCTTCGTCATCTCTGCCTACTCTCCCACTGACTGCAGCTCAGACGATATAAAAGATGAATTTTACAGGAAACTTTCTGACCTCCGAAAAGCTAGGCGTTCTGATGTAGTAATAGTGGCAGGTGACTTCAATGCTCAAGTAGGTAAACTAAGTGAAAGGGAAAGACACCTGGGTGGATCTTATGGTGTCGTGGCTAAAGGATCAGATAATGGCGACCGTCTGTTGCAGCTGTGCTCAGACAACCGCCTATTTCTTGCAAATACTAACTTTAAGCATAAGGAAAAACATCTTTTGACATGGCGACCCCCGAATTCGTCCCAACGTTGGACCCAATTAGATCACATCGCTATCAGCCACCGATGGAGGGGCTCGATAGAAGACTGTCGCTCATTCTGAAGCACATGTTTAGACTCAGATCATGCTCTAGTGCGAGCACGTATCTGTCTGTGTCTTACTGGACGTAGGAAAGACACTGCAGGGAAGCCTCTAAGGGTTCGACTTAATGATAAGCAAGCTAAGAATATATTTCAGGAACAACTGGAAAAACAGTTAGGCAGCCATGTAAGTTGTGTCCACCCCGAGGCAGCGTGGAATGACATCCGAAAAGCTGTGGAAACAGCAGTGATATCCGCTAGTAAGGTAAGCCATAACGTTAGGGAGAAACAATGGATCTCGGCAGCATCTACCGCACTGATAGATGCTCGAAAACTAATCCCACCTGGCTCCGAACATAACGAAGGGCGGAGTCAGCTTAAGCGAAGGCTAATAAGAAGCCTACGCAATGATCGTGAACAGTGGTGGGTAGCGAAAGCAAGAGAGATGGAAAAGGCAGCGGCAATAGGTAACAGCAGAAAGCTATTCAGATTTATTAAAGAAACCGGTATTAGGAACCCAACTGTTAGCGAAACTATCTCAGATAAAGACGGGCATATCATTCATTCTCAATCCAGGAGATTGGATCGATGGGCAGAACACTTTGGGGATCAGTTCAACTGGCCTTCAGCCACACTTCAATTACCCACGATCCCCAGTCGTCCTGAATGGCAAATTGAGGTAAGTCCTCCAACCCTCTGTGAGGTTGAAAAAGCTATAGGAAATCTGAAGCGAGGGAAAGCCGCAGGCCCCGACAGGTTTACCACTGAGATTTTTAAGGATGGTGGTCCAGTACTAGCAACGAGATTGACTGAGGTCATAGGTAGAATCTGGGAACTGGACGTAATTCCATCTGACTGGTCCCAATCACTGATTGTGCCAGTCCATAAGAAAGGACAAAAGTCCTGTGACAATCACAGAGGAATCAGTTTGACTAATATAGTGTCTAAAATATCAGCCTCAATAATACTTGGATGCCTAATCAAAGCTCGTGAAGAGCAGACTAGAGAAAACCAGGCTGGTTTCCGACCCGGCATGGTTGCATAGACCAGATATTCACCCTACGTCAGATCCTAGAACATAGACACAAATTCAGACGTCCCACAATAGTAGTATTTCTTGACCTTAAGGCGGCATTTGACTCCGTTGATCGTGAGGTTCTATGGCAGTGTTTGTCAGTGAAAGGAGTACCAAAGAAGTACATTAACCTCATAAAGGCTCTCTACTCGAACACAACTGGTCGAGTTAGAGCCTATGGCGAACTGTCATCAGAACTGGTTACCCCAAGTGGCGTTCGTCAGGGCTGTCCACTCTCACCATTCTTGTTTAATTTTGTCATTGACATGCTTTTAGAGATATCACTTTCATCATCTCAATCTCCTGGAGTTGAACTTTTATCGGAAGGCTCACTTGTTGACTTAGAATACGCCGACGACATAGTTTTACTCGGTGAAGACGCTGACAAAATGCAGAGTCTTCTGACCACTATAAGCAACAATGCAGGCATGTTCGGGATGCGATTCTCTCCCTCGAAGTGCAAAATGTTACTTCAGGATTGGGTTGCAGCGACACCTGAACTAATGATAGGGAGTGAAGTAGTTGAGCGTGTAGACCACTTCACTTATCTTGGGAGTCTCATCAGCCCTTGTAGTCTGGTGTTTGACGAAATCTCAGTACGGATACAGAAGGCTCGTCTAGCTTTCGCCAACTTGCGTCATTTATGGCGTAGGCGAGATATCCGTCTAGCAACCAAAGGAAGGGTTTACTGTGCAGCAGTTCGCTTCGTCCTACTTTATGGCAGTGAAACATGGCCAATAAGAGTAGAGGATATTCGTAGGCTACTAGTGTTCGATCATAGGTGTCTTCGAAGCATTGCTCGTATATCCTGGGACCACCGGGTAAGTAATGCAGTTGTTAGGAAACGAGTACTAGGTAGGGATGGCAAATCGATTGATGAAGTAGTGAAACTTCATCAGTTGAGATGGCTAGGACATGTGTTACGTATGCCCGACCACCGACTGCCCCGACGTGCAATGTTTCATGGTGTAGGAGTAGGTTGGAAGAAAGCTAGGGGCGGCCAGACCAAAACGTGGCATAAATCCATGAAGTCGCTGACAAGTGGACTGGGCCATGTTGGTAGGTGTAGACTACCTGGTTGGGATTCGCGAGATGATAGCAACCGATGGTTAGAGACCTTGAATGACATGGCTCAAAATCGTTTGCAATGGCGAAGGTGCATCCACTCTTTGTGTTCTACCAAATTCTAATCTTCTGAATTCTTCATGTCCCTATCCTTTTTCTCTTTTCAAATTTATTTCACTGTATTAAACTCCTTGAATAACATTTTCAAACCCTAATCTTTCACATAATACTTATACTCTTACTACTTCTACCACTATGGGATCTGAGTCGACAACTGCATCTCTGTGCTAATGTGGTATGGCAACTCGAACTGATGTACGTACGTACGAAATTCTACGTTGAAACTGACTGACCTGGGTTGGTTGAAGAACGGTAAGACTAAAAGTAGAAACTCAAGGTACGAGAGCGAAGTCGTTCTACTGAAGGCACTAAGGTGTGAAATTATTAGTCTTTCCTTGGATAACTGACATCCTCAGTGATACTACCTTTTTCCAACCAAGAAAGAAAGGTAGAAACGTCCAGCTCTGAAAACACCACGCCCCATCTTACCCCACGGATTCCCGTCGCTGATGGCAAAGCCTTTAAAGTGTGCAGCTGACCACTAGGAAAACGATTGTTTGACCGGTCCTGAGCAGTTATCCCTTGGGCTATGAGGTCACGCTTCCAGGTAGTCAAGATCACTACTAACCCAGCTTCTTTTCAGGTTCCTCAAGAAGAAGTATCCTTCCAAGGTGTTTGACTTCTCATGCCATCCAAGAAAAAATAATTACATCCTCAAGATTAAATAAGTATTCATTAATCGTAAAACAGAAAGGAACCTTAGAATAAAAAATATTTCATCCATAAAATAACTACGATTTTCTGAATGGACATGTGATTACATCAATAAGCATATAGCTGCTAATCACGTTTTATAACTAGCAGTCAAACAACTAAAAAATGACAATTCAGGTTAATATAATTAATCTATCAAAAAATCGATAATAGATAAATACAATATAGTCATCATACTACAGTAATGGAAACACATTTAATAGAGCAGTTGCTGAGTTGCAATGTTGTATTTTTTTCCAGGTCTAATACATCAGTAAGTCAAATGTATAAGCATTCGCAAACTAATGGTTTAAGTAAACCGATTTAACGGCAAAAACAGTATATAAATATGAATTATTAACATAAAATAATCGTTATTTAAAAAGTCACTGACCCGATCGTAGCTGCCACCTTAACTTGATGACCAGGTTTGTTTATCGTGATGAATCAACCGGGCTATATTGGCTGGAACACTTTTTTTAGGTCCCTCCATGCCAAGTAGGTCAGTTGGAGAAGTAGCAACTTAAGGTCGGTAAGGTCTTTTGAAGTACGGAGGTAACACATCAAGAACTTCCCATAAAAAGGGCGTGCATGATCGGCCTTAAGCAAGTGTTATTTGGGCTCTATGTTCACGCCCCCTGGTCGCCAACACCACCACTAATTCAGCTTCTTTTTCAGGTTCCTTAAGAAGAAATATCCTTCTATGGTGTGGTACACTGGGAAGTATAAACCCTACTTTATCACACCCGAGATCATCTTGCTGACGATCGGATTCCTCCTTCACCTCTTAATAATTCCTCTATTCCCACGACTGACCCTTCTCGTATATCTTTATCACCACGCACCACCAATACTGGTGATTTGAGCACACGAAATGTTATTCCTAGTCTCTTGAAACCATCATCATCTGAGGTGAATGGGATTTGTGTTACTCATTCCCAACCTAAGAATAACTACTGTTTTATCAGATCAACGCTTGCCCGTTGCTTGACACATACCGTTTTTGAATGTATTAATTTATTTTGTAAACACTACAGCCGAATTCCATATATGCCAATCAATCTGCAATCAAATATTGATGGCAGTTACGACAATGCTATCAGCCTTAAATGATTGAAGTTTAACAAGGTGATGTACGAAAGATGACCTCAGCAAATCTTGAGGTAGGATTCAAAGCAAACTTTTATTAATACAAACAACAAAAATATATGTATATCCTAAACTGACCAAGCTCGATGATGGAGACAAAACTAGTAACATAGATTCTCACTAATCCCTCAAAACCATTCAATATTAATAAATTCTATCACAAAGTTGAATCCAATACGTTAGCTGCTACAGTCCGAACATGATCGATCAGCACAAAAAAGGATTAAATATGATATTGGTTACTAGTTCACATATACATATTGTATTGATCAAATGCTTAATTATTCTGATCATGTTAATTTTTATTGTCAGTTATTTTTTAATTGTGTAATGACAACAAGAATATCTACCTATTGGTGGAAAGATGAGTAAATACACAAAGGATAAATAAACATATATATATGCAAAAATAAATGCAAAATAATTTAATCACTTCAGTATCTAAAAAGTTCGACATAGCTGTTGTACTAGCAGCCAATGCGTCTTCATACTGAATTCTAGACTCCTCAAATGCTTGATCTGGTTGAACTTTGGCTATTGTTATTTTGCGAATTATAGTTCCAGTGTAGATTATGAAAAAAAGGAAAAAAGAGGAAACAATAATACAATACATTATAATGATAAAATTCAAAGGAATATATTGGTATAAACAAGTAGTTTAAAATGTTTCAATGAATTTACACTTAAACACTTAATAGACCTATAAAAGAGGCAACTCATCAAGATACCAAGGAAAGTAGATCCGAGAAAATGTGAAAACTATACAGGCATCACATTACTATCAGTACCAGGAAAGGTTTTCAACAGTGTCGTCCAACCGGATGAAAGACTCAGTAGATGCCCAACTTTGAGATCAACACATCGCATTCCGTAAAGATCGGTTGTGCAAAGACCGAATCAATTGAATGGGATTTGTCACTATACATCAACTTCATTGACTATGCGAAAACATTTGATAGAGTGGATAGGAAAACATTATGGAAACTTCTTCGACCCTATGGAGTGAGTAGCTGGGAAGATCATCAATATCATAAGGAATTCATACGACGGATTACACTGCAAAGTGGTGTGTGTAGGACAGCTGACAAACGCATTCCAAATTAGAACCGGAGGCAGACAAAGATTCTCACCCTTTCTCTCTGTCTTTCTTCTGGTGGTTGACTGGATTATAAAGATCCCCGATTCTGAGGGGAAGCACGGAACACAATGGACAGTTCGGAATCAACTAGACAATTTGGACCTGATAGACCATCTGGCCATTCACACTCATACACACCAACAAATCCCGGTGAAGACAGCCAGTGTAGCAGCAGCCTGTGCATCAGGATTCCTCAACATACAAAAGGGAAACACCAACATCCTCAAATACATAACAGAGAACACGAAACAAACCAATCACACTTGATGAAGAAACTCTGCTTGAACAGGTGGAAACTTTCACTTACCTATTTGGACAACATCATCGACGAACAAGGAGGATCCGATGCAGATGTAAGGGCGAGAATTCACAAAGTAAGTACAACATTCCTGAAGTTGAACAACATATGAAACTCAAAACAACTGTCTCTCAACTAATATCAAAGTGAGAATATTCAATACGAATGTCAAGATAGTCAGTTCTACTGTACAGAGCTGAAACTTGGAGAGAACGACTACAATCATCATCAAACATGTACAAGTATTTATAAATAATTGTCTACGTAAGATACTGAATGTCTGTTGGTTGGATATGAACAGAAACAACCTAGTATGAGAGAGAGCAAACCAACTTCGATGTGAAGAGGAAATTAGGAAAGGATGTTGGAGGTTGATATGACATACATTACAGAGACCGTTGCACTTAATTACGAGGCAAGTGCTAACTTGGAATCGTGAAGGGAAACAAAGAAGATGAATATCAGAGAAGAAAGTACGTGGGGAATTGAAAGTAGACATGAAAAGGATGAATAGTAACTGGAAAGAACTGCTCAGGATAGAGTTGGATATGTATGTGCTTATATATAAGGTGAGAATTTTCGAGGAAATTTTTATAAGAAATTGATTAATTTCACTACCAGTTAAATTTGTTAATTAGTAAATGACAAGTGATTAGTAAAAATCTACAAACAGATTGAATTCGAAACCCATAGACCCGCCCTTGACTATTCTTTCATGGGAACTGAAATATGGATAGACAACTGTTAAGTGTAACTATTGAAAATTCCTTCACTGATTTACATAAATGAATATGTAAACCACTAGTTATGCACTGAACAGACACACAATTGTTTTTCTGCTAATTCGGTGATCACTTTGAGATTGAAAGATAAATTACTTAGACTAGCCACCTCTTTCTGTATCCATAATTTCAACCGCTCATGTGGAGCAAGTTATATTGGTAGGTGTTCTAGGAATTAGTATTTTCGGGCTCGTGAGCACCTCCTAGTGTGGCTAAGCAAAGTTTTGGTTAAAACTGTTAACAGCTCGGTTTTGGCTGATTGAGTACAAACGAGAGCAATCATTCACAATAATATATCGTGTTAACAGCAATCTGTCTAAATTCGTCAAACTAAGAATCCTTCAGACGCCTGAAGCAATAGCTATTCGAATTAAAATGCCGGAGCTTTGCGTATAGAAGACGTCCGACCTCTCCTTTTACCGTTGGTCAACTTCTGGATTAATCAGTTAATAATCATTTTTATAATATGGTGTCGCAATTTGATTGATGTTCATTTTCATAGCTTGAACTTATTCACAAATCTTAACATTGTTATCATTATCATCATAACACTTGCAAACACCGAGAAATCTATTCAGCATCCACCCCTATTTGCTAATTCGTACCCAATTCGCATTATTATACATATTACGTGATTCCTTATTTGCAATTACATTATTATCTCTTTCACCCCATGTTAACCATATTTATTCTAATAATTAATCCCACAATTTCATTTGACGTATCAATGGTAGTAAGAAAGAATAAACATAAACAAAATGAATTCGCAGAATAGAAGTATAAAATAAAATTAGACTTAACAATCTAGGGGAAAGATAAATCGCTTAAGATTTTCAGCTGTCACATAATGTCTCAGACAATAGATCACAATTATGGAGTGGGTCTAGATCATTAGATGTGTCTCCATCGTATGGCTTAGATCAAGGTTAAGTAACCTTATGAACTTATGTTATGATTAGTTAGACCACCCCAAGCTTCTAGGCCACTCACCATTCCATGTCAAGACAAAAGGTGGTAGCGCATGTGCATACACTTTGGTTGATGGAGATTAACTGCATTAACGATCAATTTGGGACTTTTACCTAGTGTCCCACTTAAACCCCGATATCACTCATTCGATTGGTTCATCATACACGAGTAACGCTTCGGAGACATATACGATATGCTAATAATGACCTACACACTTTATCTGCCTTTAAAAATCACGTTTCACCGTCACAAAGTAAAATAGAGCTCTGAGTAATCGCTTTTTGATAAATAAATGAATACCTCACATGCACCAGAAATGGTGTAAGCTCGTGAAACCCGATGGGATCTTTCGAATTCGTCTCTAGACATCCTCAGCTACTACTAACTCACTAGACCTGATGAGACTTTGAAGGTCAATGGAGCCCGACCACTTTACTTCTAAGAGATTGATTTAAACCAGTTCTGAAAATAGTGTTAACTTACAATGAAAAATATTATGAAATTAACCAAATGCTCAAAAAACAAATAACAATTTGAGCAAGCATTTCTAAACTACATTTATAACTCGTTAAACAATTAAGTTAGCTTAATGAATATGAAAATTTTTATTAATGTGTGAAATGAAATCCATAATTAGGAAAGATAACCGAATAAATGTATTAAAGTCATAAGTATATGAATTTACACACCAGCGAATAGAAAATAAATGAGCGCAATGATCATAAATCACGGTGATGAATAATAAGGCATTAAAACACTTACTTGTGAACGCATCTAGATTATGTTTTAGATACATAAATTTCAGAGCCATATTTTTACAGATATATAATTTAAAAAGGATCAACATGTATACCTGCCTTGTAACTATGTTAAGGATTAAAACCTATTCAAAACAACTACACTAACCAGTAATAATAAATTATGTTTAAACAAGGAATTAATTGGATACTAAGTAGTACAGCGATAATGACTTTTTATAGTGAGTTTATTTCAAGAGACATTACAATTTCAAGTGATACAATGACCAAAGCAATGAACCTATGAAATAAAACCGATTAGTGTTTCAAGTATGGCATGGAAACGTCAATCATTTTGAAAGCCGAAATTCAGGATCAACTCAGTCTGAAACATTAAGCAAGTTAAGATTGTAATTAGCAAATTTAAAACTACTAGCTCATAAAGTATGTTATTCAAGTGGTTTTAGTGAGATTGATAGTGAAATTGGGGGGCTAACACGATGAGTCAGAATAACAGAAATATACCAACCAGCTTGTACTATGAACCTTAGTGACTTGACCGAACCTTGAACCATTGTAAAAATAAAGCAAATGGTTTGTTCTGCACTCCAGCCGATGACGATATAGGGGAAAATGTCAGAACATTCTTACATTTTTCGGCATATTCTTTAGAACTATCTATTTAGGATCTATCGTAGGTGTGATATTCAAGTAATAGGTTAGACGTTGTGAGAATAAAGTTACAACTTAGTAGCAACAACTCTTAGAGACCTACGAAACGTCTGCTTCAAATGTACGGATTCCATATTTCCTCATAAATATGGATAAACCGACAAGTCTAAACAAAAAATCCTGGTGGAATTGTGTATTGAGTCTCGTGTTCATTCTTTACATCAAAACAGTCATAGGGAAACAAAAAGAAGTAAAGTAAACAAGTAAGCAATTACGCAAACGAAGAAACTAAAAATTGTAAGATACAATCTGATACATACTGACTAAATCCCAACAGAGGATAAAGAATAGCGAAACTAAAATCCAATTTATTAAGGAGAGCAATAAAAACTGGCTATAAATTATAGTGTGAGTTTATAGGATTGACAATTGACTCTGACAACTAACTGGTTTGTCACTTTTATGCTATCACGCAAAAAATTATTTATGAGACTGTTTGCCAAATCTATCTGCTAATCAGATTACTATAATCGGTTACGTTATATGGATAAGATACATCACTTTGTTTTTAATTTATCGTATTATTTATTTACAAAGTGAGATCTTAAACACAATCCAAATAGATGTGTGAAATAATGTGATGCCATGAATCAAAATTGAAAAAAAAATGTCACTAATTATTGTAAAGAAATGAAAAGCGTATTTTTATGTATGATTCCTAATGTTACTCACTTCTTTCTAGAACATTTTTTCTATGAGCAAGCGTTAGTCGTTTATTTTCAACCTTTTTTCGAAGTGCCTATAAACAAAAATTAAAAGTATAATTCACAACAACAACAACGGAACGTATAACGATTAAATCTTAATATAGCGTTGGCATAACTTTCAACAAGATTTATAAACAATAACGTAAAGTGAAGTAATTCGATAAGACTTAATTTTATTAGCCAAAAGAAAATCAGCACACTTTTCAGTTGAATCTAACCTTGCGGAATGTTTAATTGTAATAACCATAGTGAAGTTTTTGAACGTGTTAGCTGTACAATAATAGAAAGCTGAGTTAAGTTTCTAAAAATAAAACTACCAATGACCCTTATGAAATTAACACAGTAACCAAGTACAGAGGCTTATTTATTCAGCTATGAGTGTTATGTATGCTACTGATGTCGATAGATATAAGTAGTATGTATCAGCAATTGAAAGCGAAATGCTTGACGGCAGAAGGTTAAGATGGAAGAGAAGAAAAAAAGAACGGAGAGTGATTTGTGTGGAAAAGAAGAGTCAGTTAAGTCTAAGACAATTTATTGACATTTTGCAAATGAAGAATTTGCCATATGGTCCTCATATTTTACTAAAAGATTCTGTAATTTTGTGTTGAAATACATTTCGTTGTCTCCATCTGTGTTTCCGTTCATTACACGAGTGATATTTATTGTGAAAGTTAGTGAGTCCCCGATTGTTGAAAACAAAGTTAAGTAATGTTCGAACGTGAAGTTAAAGGTGCTCCCACACGATATACAGGAGTTATCAAATGTAATTGTTGTGCAATACGTCACATTAAAACTTGACTGATACACTTCAATAAATAATAAATATTGGGTAAAAATATGGTACTGGTTATCATTTAGTGATCAATTACTGTAAACGTCCCAGTTCCACAAGTAGTCAGATTCGAATCAAATAGCTTATTGGTAAGGCCTGTGACTACCACACTGTATGGCTTGATCCGACTAAATATACCGTCCATTGACTTCGTAAACTGTTCCCAATACAGTGACTCTTAACTCTGAGCATATAATCCTAAACATTTTGAAACTTCCTCTTGATGATCCAAGTAGATAATGTATTACAACAAGAGAAAAAAGACAAATTAAAGAGGTATTTACAATCTTTAGTACAACAAGAATAACTACTATCACGTATGAATACCGAAAACAAGAAGCGTTGAACGGTTACAAGAGTGTATATATCATTTACTCAATTAAAAAAGTAAATATGAATAAGCTTTAAAAACCTACCGATATTTTCCTGATATCTCGATGTAACTTCTCAGAAATCGGTTTTAAATAGCCAGATTTTGTTTCATCTACTGATTGATTTTTTGATTCAACAATTTTATTGTATGCTTCTCCACATTGTGTAAGTGCCAGACCTTAGTGGTATTATTAAAAATACAGGGCAAAACACACAGAAATCAATGCGAGATAGTATTACACTTTCTACCAGTAACCAGTGAGAAACATATTTTGGAAATGTAGTTGTATAAAACCATTCAGAAAAATACAGGACACACAGTTTAGTGTAAACGCAATACAATATGGTATTTTTGTCCATATTAGTGTGTATTTGTGCCATGAACCCTAACTATTAAATAGCAACAAACAATGCTTCGTACCTATTTAAACTTAGCCTAAGCTTGTAAACGACTGGTCGATAGTCAATCGGAATACCAGACCACAAGTTATAGTCAATTTAGTCTATTGTGTTATGAAGTAGATGGAATGAGGTTCATAACAGCGACCTAAGATACCCAATAATCCAATTCACTTTTGTACTGAGGCGGAGGTTTTGGAATTGGGCTACTGGATACATTTAATGTGTGAAAGCTATTTCATGTCACTGAAAGTATGACTAAAGTAGTTTTGTTAGCGGGACATAGATTGAATTAAAGCATGTTTCATGCATGATGGTGTTGCTGCGCGCTGATTGACTAATTCTAAACCGATCAGCCCGGGCAAATTATTGGAGAAAATCTAGACGCTTCTTATGTATATACTATAATTATATGAACGTTATTCAAATCAGTGATTGCTGTTCACATACCATTATTATTTTGAATACAATTTCATTCCTGTTCAACGTGTTCTGATTGTGGGGTCTTGTTGAGTGTCATTGTATAAGAATACTAAGCTATAGGAATAGCTGGGTCGTTTATATAGCAAAATACAATTATAACAAGTTTACAGAAAGTTTTAAAGAAACATTTAACACCTTTATAAGTTATCAAGCTACAAAACCGTTGCAGAAGTATAAATACTTGTAAACGCAAACTGTTGTTTACATGTTATTAGGTGTAAACTGAATATTCATTTCTAGTTGAGAGTACTTGTACTGTCTAGATTTGCCCATTATCAAGCTCATGATACAAAGTATTAAAGTTGCGTAAAATACGATACACTGAAAACAGTAATTGAGAGAAGACGTAAATATTAGCAAAAACAGCATTTCCAAAACATCAAAACTTACTCAAATCGGATTGCTGACTCAATTGTCTTCCGTACTCCAGAAAGCAGTCAGAAAGAAACTTCTCGGCATGAGGATAACTATCACTGCTTGTGGTTCTCTGAATTTTATTTACAGCAGCATTGGCCCATGCTCGTTTTCGCGCATTAGGGTTAGGTTCCAAACAGTCAATAACCCGCTTCTGCATATCTTCGTAAAAAGCTTTGTAAGAGTCCATAAGCTGTTTGAAATTAAAAAAGGGAGTCAAGTATGAGACGAAACGCTTACATAGGACCAAAAGTATGTTCACTGATTCCATTCTACAAGGAATAGTAATCCAATGATATAAAACAGTAATGTCTAATATGGCAAGCAAAGTACAGCCTCCATGTTTAGTCACAACCCCATTCTATACATTAAGTAAATGACGAAAGCTGCAAATTAAAACAATGGTATATTAGTGGTGAAAGTCGTCCATGTTTTGTTTAAACGAGAACCGGAAGCAAAAATAGAATGCTCTAAGAGGTTTTAGTAACAGAAACAGCAACTGTTTATGCACGAATTCTATTTTGAATAAGTGATAGCACCAACTCGATATGGGACACTTATAAAGTGCTAATCAAAAATAATCGTGGTGATGAGATGTTACATATACACATACAACACAATTAATGTTCAAGTGAACCTCAGTAACTAGGCTTCTGCAAAAGGTTATTTGTTATCTATGGATATTAATTTGAATACAAAAATGGTAATTTGATCAGATATGACGTGATACATCTGTCGCACTTGAATATGTGATACCGTAAAATCTAGTCAACCCAAACTTTGTTTAAGATGCTATAGCTAGGAAAAACGGTGCTTAAGAAACCGACCTAAAAACATGATCAAAGCTAAACACAGTTTCCATTCTGTTCGTTCCAAATAACGCCAGTTAATGCTGAAATTAGCTTACATAAACCTGTTTGATTTAACACATAAAAAGTATGTCACCGAGTATTACTGAGAGATCAAAATAAATTATGATTCGTACTACCGAAACCTGATTAAGCAGAAGTCGAATTCACTACTAATAAGTTGACTGACACCAAAACCTTTAAAAATGGCAATAAATTAAATCTACTCAACTATTTTGGGGAAAGTGTACCATTAAGAAAGGTACAAAAAACATATCGCAACCAAATGAACTACTCGTGCATTTAAATCAGACTTCCATTCATGTTTTTTACTGAATACTATCCGGGGTATGTGGGAATTTTCAGTTGTGAAAATCTGAACTGCATGTTTATGTATTCTCACAAACAATCATGAACACCTTAACTATTTACAAGCTGTTTTATTGAATCTGTAGTCAAATATATTGCCTTGAGACTAACTAACCGTTTTAACCACAGTACAATGGATAGGTTTCGAAAACATGACGAAGTAGTCGAGGATCTGAACCTCCAAACTTCAAATACTTCTATTTTCTGAATTGCCGCCTGAGAGGGTTTTCTATACATCAATGTTTCCTGACAATTTTGAACCTAAATCGGTTAAATATTGATGATATTGAATGACGGTGAGTTTTGTGAGTGAAAGAAAATTACAGAACTTTTACTCCAGGTATATACAGCGACGACTGATAGGAGTCATGTTTCCTTAACTAGATTCAGTATTTGACTTCGTCCGCCAAGAAGTCTTATGACATATTCTCTTACTAGAGTATCTAAACCTACACATGCCATCAGACTGATGTTACTGACTTGAAATGAGCCGTGTGGGGCGACAAAAATTAACTCGATAATATGTTGTAAACAAAGTTTCCTTTGCCATTTTCGGGGAAACAAAAACAAAAATCTAAACACGAGCTTATTCTATTTCGTTAGGTTCTCATGAGCTGCTTACAATCAGTAATATTTAAAAGTCATGATTAGAAAACAGGTTGGAAATACTCGTACAAATGATAGTAATAGCCTTAGTAGGCTTTGGAAAACAGGAGCTTGGTTTTCCATCAGTCATCTTGAAGCATCAACCAAGAGATACTTACAGATAGTGCCATTCGAAGCATTTTTCTTAATCAAACGCTTTTGAGAAGATAATTAGAAAATCGAAGGCAATTCTTTTTCTTATTTAACACAACCTCTAACTAAGCATATGTGTCATTTTATAATTATGGATTCTAAATACTAGAGGTTGTAGGTGGCTGATGAGAACTCAATATTAAGTCAGGACTAAGTTTTATGTGGTAAATCGCAATAAACAGTGAGTCCAATTTTTCGTTTAATACGGTATAGAAAGTTCTAGTCTTCAATCACTTTTCATACATTATGATGGTGATAAACGACTATCATCGTACAACCACATTCCAGTTTGCAAGGGTAGTAATAGTTAGCGTGTATGTTTCCTCGAAAAGTTTACCGAAAACCCAGTTACAATGGTACTGAAGTGTTTTGAACCAACCTGTGTAAGTTGTTTGTAATCAGGGCCCTTGTCCATCCCCTTGGTAGCTCCCAATTTTTCGGACAAAAACTGTCAGACGAACTCCAGGGATGAAGAAAATCTTTTACCTGATTACATCGTGCTATGTGTTTCTTAATGGTAGAAAAGGACATAGCTATAAGTTTTCACTTGAATGTTTGAATTTGGATAGTGCGTTGTCTGTACGCCTTCTATAAAGAGAAATATATTGTTTATATCCACACGACTGAGTAAGAGACCTGGGATGGATACAAATTATAGAATCTGATAATTTGGCAAGTAATTAGAAATTGAGGCGTTAGTGGAGATAGCGAAACTGAAAGAACGGGAACCAATGAGCTCCAGACGTTTTAAATCAGAGTGACCTACAAACGATTCCGAACGACCTTATCAAATTTCCAATACTCAGTATCATTGTGACGAGCCTATATAAACCGAATGATTTTTTGGGCTCGCTTACTGTTGTCTCAGTACCGTACTAGGTATTTGGTAATGCTCAATGGCTGGTAGTTCAGCCACTGAACTAGTCATTCAATTGTTATATGTTGGTTTATATGTCATGGAATATGTGTTTGCTTCAGAGCAGTAGGATTTCTAGAATAAACAGTTATCGAACTACCAGGCGTGATTTTTGTTGACTGCAAATCACGAATTTAGTAGGGCCGATTCCCGTCAAAGTCAAGAACAACCAACGCCAATCCGTTAATGAAACGCAATGGACTGGGCTACACCACAGTAGTCCCATTCTGTTACTTGTACTTCCCCTTACTAGTATCTTACTGTATTGACGTTGTTTGTGTTGTACGGTCATCAAACTAGCCGTAGTAGCTGGATACGACGAAATAGTAGTCGATATTAGATATTAGCAGTGAGGTTGTGGGATTATGGTCTAGCTCAATATCAGTATATTCGCCTTTGCTACTATAAAAATAGGCCCCATCCCGGAATTGTAGATTTGCTAATATATAAGTGCTTAATCTATCAGACCCTATGTGGAAGTCATACAAGAGTCTACACTGACTCGTCCTATGCGACAACCGGCAATATGACTTTCAGCACTTCTGAGGAACACATTTAAGCTTACTTACTTACTTTCGCCTGTTACTCCCAATGGAGCATAGGCCGCCGACCAGCTTTCTCCAACCCACTCTGTCCTGGGCCTTCTTTTCTAGTTCTATCCAGTTCTTGTTCATTCTTCTCATGTCTGTCTCTATTTCTCGGCGTAATGTGTTCTTTGGTCTTCCTCTTCTCCTTTGACCATCAGGATCCCATGTGAGGGCTTGTCTTGCCACATCAACGGGTGATTTCCTCAAAGTGTGCCCTATCCACTTCCAGCACTTCCTCTTGATTTCTTCCTCTGCTGGAATCTGGTTTGTTGTCTCCCACAGTAACTTGTTGCTGATAGTGTCTGGCCATCGGATCCGAAGTATCTTGCGCAGACAACTGTTAATAAACACTTGTATCTTCTGGATAATGGCTTTCGTAGTTCTCTACGTCTCCGCCCTATACAATAGAACTGTCTTGACATTTGTATTGAAAATTCTAACTTTGGTGTTGGTTGACAATTGTTTTGAGCTCCAGATGTTTTTCAGTTGTAAGTATGCTGCTCTTGCTTTGCCGATCCGCGCCCTCACATCTGCATCTGATCCACCGTGTTCATCAATGATGCTGCCCAGATATGTAAAGGTTTCCACATCCTCCAAAGCTTTTCCGTCAAGTGTAATTTGATTGGTGCATATTGTATTGTATCGGAGAGTCTTGCATTCCCCTTTGTTTATATTGAGACCTACTGCTGCTGAGGCTGCTGCTACACTGGTCGTTTTCTCCTGCATTTGTTGTTGCGTTTGTGATAGAAGAGCCAGATCATCCGCGAAGTCTAGATCGTCAAGTTGCATCCTGCCTGTCCACTGTATCCCGTGCTTTCCTCCAGTTGTTGACGTCTTCATGCTCCAGTCGATGACCAGGAGAAAGAGAAACGCTAACATTTAAGCTAGAAAGAGAGTAATATGTTCCATACAAAAAGCAAGAGGTTACATAGTGTGATCACTACACGACTCTCAAAACAGAATCAACGTGACGTTGGTTCAATAGCAAATCTAGTGAGATATTCGCACGCCGAAGTTCATCAAGTGAGTAATAAGAATCCTCCGCGTATTGATAAACTGATCAGGAAATACGTGTAATATTTCCAAAATGTTCGGTTTAATTCTGAATAGACTCACGATGACAATCTATGTGAATGTCGTTTACGAGTTAAACGAAGTGGGATTATCGTAATGAACAGTGATTTGGTATATAGGTATTTTAAGAAGCCACATTAAGATGCGTGGTAATAACCGTTAGTTAATAGCCTAACTTTTGGGTAATATTAGTATTTTGTGTTTTGGAAATTGAAGAATAATCTTTATTGTGTCAATGTCGATATCGTTATTATCTTTGGTGCAAATAGAAGGTCAGTCAGCGTTTATACCGGTATGCTATCCACATGTGTTAATTTACAGTCGCATTAGTGAATTAACAGAAGTATAATCGCGGATTGTAAGTGTCCCAAACATCGTTCCAGTCGATTTGTCAAATTTGATACGGTTTATTTAGTTAAGGGGGGATTATCTCGACCCTGTTATTGCTTAACCGTGATAGGATTTAGTACTACTACAAGCACACAATGTAACGACCGAAATTTCAATATTCGGTTTAAACGCAAAACTAACAGACCAAAGTTTATTCGGTTAAACCAGGCTGCATTCTTCTGTACGGCGTACGGAGCGTTCATGTATGACTCATATTAGATTAGATCAAATCACACACTCTATGTTCGGTTCAAGCAGTTCTAACTTAAGAAAGAGAATAGATTATATTAAAAGTATAAAATACATAAATTGGTACAGTCAAGCGTTTTTCTAACACAAATTAACTCGCTAAAAGGCGAAAGGAAGAGTCAACAAACAGGGTGTAGCTGTAAATAATTCCCCAAAATCAATAGTTCATTAAGTGTTCGACATTGGATGCTGACCACGTTGTTTAAGTGGACTTGTTTAGCTGAAGGCTTTCGGTCATGCATCCGTACCAGATCACGTTTCGACTCGGCGTGGGACACAGCTCCTACGTTTCATTAGCCAGCTCATAGAAAAGGTCCTCGATATATTGGTAACGAATGAAATATATCTTTCCTGCCTCTTCTCGTCTGACTTCTGATTTCTATCTGACTGGGAACAATCGAATTTAGAAGGTGCTATTGGTATCTAGTTGTAAAACTAGAATATCCGTTGCATCATCATTGGTGAGCCCGACGTGATCTGGTACACCAAGTCAATATACTGTGAGTCTGTTCCATTTTGGAATATTATTATTCATTGTTATTCTTTATTTGAATTTTATATATTGTGACATACTTTTTTTCGCAGTTTTTTTCTCGGATATATTTTACTTAGACATTTTTCGATATCTTTATTACTATGACGGAACACTCTCCTAAGGTTCTTAAGTTTAAGTCTATTCCCCCTATTTCGATTCAGTTAACGCCATTTTGGCCTGACAATATCGAGTCCTGGTTCTGCTACGCAGATGCCGATTTTAGCATGCACGGAATCACGGACTCGCGCACACGTTTCCTCGCGGTAGTTAAGGCGTTACCGCGCGAGTTTAACAGGTACGTAACACCTAGTATGTTTACTAGTGATGTTTCCGAACCTTACGAATCGCTTAAGCTATCGATTTTAAAACGAGGAGACATAACTGATCGACAACGGTTAGACCAACTCCTTAACAATATCGACTTGCAACATGGTTCTGCGACGGACATGTTGCTTAGAATGAGAGAAGTCATCGGCCAACGAACTTTCGATGATGGTCTATTTAGACAACTTTTCTTGTCTAAACTCCCTCAACAGGTGCAGGCAGTGCTTGTTTCATTTCAAAACAATGCCATAGATGAACTAGCTGCATCTGCCGATCGAATCTTGGAAATCACTAGATCTCCTAAGGCCGAGGTTTTTTCCGTCAAGGAAAAACCCCAATCGACCTCGACTGACATGGCCGAACTATGTCACACGCTTACACGATATCTTAGAGTTCGCAATGACCGTAGTCGGTCAAAAACCCCGCGTAGAAGCGCCTCACGTAAGCGATCTGGCTCTCGACCACGAGAGACAGACAATCCCGACTGGTGCTGGTATCATAACCAGTACGGTAAGTTTTCCAGAAATTGCAGGAAACCTTGCAATTATCCGACTTCAAAACCGACTGACACGAATAAGATTTCGGGAAACTTCCCAGCCGGCACGCGTTAACGGCAACCGTAGCCGGCGAACACAGCCGCCTCTTATATGTCACGGATGTGACTACGAAAGTTCGCTACCTCGTCGACACTGGCGCAGAAGTTAGCGTTCTTCCAGCAAATCCCGACGACAGACTTTGCGAGTCTGTTTTAAGTTTACAGGCGGCAAACGGAAAGCCGATCGCTACTTACGGTAAAAGGTACGTCTACCTTAACGTGGGTTTACGCAAACCCATACACTGGATTTTCGTGGTTGCAGATGTCTCTATGCCAATCATTGGTATAGACCTGTTACAACACCACAATCTACTCATCGACACACGCTCACGAAAGTTAATAGACGGAAACACTAAGTTATCTGTTAGCGTAACTCCTTGTTCTGGTTGCAGGTTATCCCCAGTCACGATTAAGCACACCATAGACCCCTTGTACCAATCAGTACTCGACAAATACCCCGGGATATACCAATCGCAATCGAAATTGCCTTGTGTAACCAGCAATGTTACACATCACATCACGACTACAGGACCACCTGTATTTTCGAAAGCTCGAAGACTCGCTCCCGAGAAGCTTAGGTTAGCTAAAAACGAATTCGACCACATGATGGACCTAGGGATAATTCGACCATCGAATAGTCCATGGTCATCCCCATTGCACATGGTCCCTAAAAAGGACAGCAATGATTGGCGGCCAACTGGTGATTATCGGCGTCTAAATGCTAAAACCATTCCCGATCGTTACCCGCTGCATCATATTCACGATTTGACAGCTACCTTGAAAGGTACAACTGTCTTTTCGAAAATCGACTTGGTTAATACGTATAATCAAATACCGATGGTAACCGACGACATTCCTAAAACCGCCATCATCACTCCTTTCGGTCTTTTCGAATTCTTGCGAATGCCCTTTGGTTTAAGAACCTTCAAACCTCAAACCTTCCAAAGGTTTATAGACGACGTCTTCCGGGGTCTCAACTTCGTACACGCGTATGTTGATGACTGTCTAATAGCAAGTCCGGACAGAGAATCACATCTCAAGCATCTGGACATTGTTTTCGATCGACTCCAAAGGCATGGCATTACTGTC